CAGAAAAATAGGGGATTGGTTGGATCAGATATTGCAGTGGGTTTCAAAGTCAATGTTTTACGCACCACAAGTGTAACAGGCATTTGCTGAAGTTCTTTTTCATGTCATATAGTGCTTAGTCTTCATGGGTATAGGTTTGATTGAATCTTTAAGTTTGAAGTTCATATTTTTAGTCACCGTGTCCAAATGCTGCAGAAAGCCCAATTTTAGTATCACAATTTAAATACACTGTAGATAGTTCCATGTATTGGTTGCTTTAAAAGTACTTGTATTTAATTTGGGAGAATTCAAGTTCTATTTTATTGTATTTTAAGTTCATTACCTTACAAATTGCTAGAGTTCTCAATTCCTGAAAATTGGTTCATTTTTGAATTTCTAATATAAAATAATTTGCTCTTTTTAGGCAATGGGAATGCTATCGGAATGGAGGTCATGTGTGGAGATCGCTTTTATTCAGCATGTTTTATCAAAATTCCATCATTTGGGTTTTCCTTCACCAGGCCTTCGAGTCAGCTGTTTGGTCCATGTTGATACCTAGATGGATGCACGATGCGTCCAACAGCTTTGTACGTCACTTGGCAAGACGGGACTCCAACCACGGCTTATGCTGAAAGAAGAGGGAAAAAAATACAATTTTGGCAGTAACATTTGACTAAAATGTATCCAAACTCGGATTTGTTAGCATTCTTTGAACACTGAACAAATTAGTTCGAGCTAAGAGTCAACATTTGATTTCTGCCAGATATGTTATTTCTTGGCGTGTTTAAGAATATAGCACTTGTACAAGAAAATGTTTGCAACCATAGCGATGATTTCTTCTGGCCGGAGTGTGGAATTTTAAAAAATAAAAAGTGGTAAAAAAGATCTGTTTGACGTCCTTTGTCTCGTCAGTTGGTTTATTTAATGCTGTCATGAGTTTCACAGTGACCTCTATTTCTCAGGTTCAGAGGTTGCATGTAAAAGAATAAGATTTGTTATTTAAGATGGACCACCTTTGAGAGTCAGGAAAAAGACTGATTTTTAATTTTAGAGAAATTACTGTGAAAAACTTTCAATTCGCATCTTCAGTAACACGGGCTGGCCCTCTGAAATTGTCAACTTAGCCTGATTCAGGAACTTGGTATGGTTTTAAGGGCAGCAAAACAGAACTTGAAATGGATCATGAGGTGATGGAAACAAACATTTGAACTTCTTTCAATCAAAAATGGCTGCTCGAAATTGTGCCGAACTTTAATTGATCTGTGATTATTACTTGGGTGTTTCTAACATGAAATGGGAGTAAAATGTGTTGCTCAAAAGAGACACTTGAGTAGAATTGAGGAAGAAATAGCAGGCTTTAATGTCAGGTGTAATTGGCTTACCTCCACCATTTTCGAGGATACTACAGTACTTTGTTGAAATGCAAGTGTTGTTGAATGGAGAGCTACAGTCCAGGAACACATTTGTCGACTGGAGATGAGCCTACAAAATAAACAGAATACAAGCAGGCCACGTGCAGGACGGCTGCAAAAGAGACCACTTCTTCTTGTTGGATTTCTTTGTTCAAATTTGGCCCCAACAATGAACTGCTTTCAGACATACTCGAAGACGCCGCGTCCGTTACGCTTGAATGAACACTTGGGAGTAGATATCACAAAATCTCGAAAAACTCATCTTTACCAGCATTTCAGCCAACAAAATGATGCTTTTTGCAGAGGAAATTACCTCACAAACCAGGTCATGGTTTAAAAATTCGAAAATTTCCACGAAATAAAAAAATAGCTTTTTTAGACTAATGGGTTTCTTGCTAAAACTTTTCACCTTCGAACGTAGGTGGCGCTCTAAACAGTGGCCTGCTG